TGGCTCACCAAGTACCATGTCACACTCCTTCCTTCAAGACGGTCTTCATCAAACATGCAGCAGTTTTGGACATCCTGTGCAATCACAAACAAGCCATTGACGACTGGTCGACTACGAGCCCAGCCACATGTTGTTGCAAATCCTGGTCCTGTTACAAGAGTGCGGCACTCAATCCTTCGGACTCTCACTGGGTCCTTCCCGGCTCTCTTCTTCACTCCCATCTCCAACCAGACCTTGCTGTCATCGCGGAAGGATCCTTGGCCAACAAAGTCTTCCCGTCCAAGAAGGAATTTCATAACCAACTGCGTCTTGGTTTGAGGAATTGGACCAAACGAAATGGTCTTCCTTCCATGCCCCAGTCTGATATCACCGACCTCTGTCACCAGCTGTGGCACCAACACTTGTCACAGATCACAAATCACATCACAAAGCAATCAATTGGACGTCTTCAAGACACCTTTGATGGTGCCATCTTTCACTGTGAGGACAAACATGCTTCCTCTCTTCGAATATTCTGCCCGTGCATTTATTACGAATCCATTGAGAAGACTTTCCAAGACCCTTCCATCTTTGAATCCCTACCCAATGAACCATCCTCAATCGTGACCTCTCTGGTTGAATCCCTTCAACGCCAACACGGACGTGCATATCCGTGGGCAGTGGGATCGGGTCGCCAGCTTCCATCTGGGTATATTCTGGCCAAAAGGAAGAAAGACTTCCGCAGCGGAAGGCCGATTATTTCCTTTGTCGACTCCCCATTCAGACCAATGCTCAACATTCTTGCCAGACTCATTTTCCAGCTTATTCCTACGGCATGTCCAAATCATTTCGCTACTGGTGATGTGTACACTCTGCTCTCGATATTGAGATCAGCGCCTGTCGACGCCGATTTGATTTTGGTCAATCAAGACTTGGCAGGCTTCTTCACCAGTATTGATCAAGACAGATTCCTTCGTTCCTGGTTCATGCTCCTAGACTTCCAGGAGGATCCAAGTCATGAGTTACTCAGGGGTGTTCGAGTTTTTACATCATTTGGCAACGGGAGTATGGAAAAACTTTGACTGCTGATGGAGCTGTGCTATCAGAAGCTATGACCCAGCACTTGCTTAGTGGACATATGTCAGAAATATGGTGCCAAAACTAGCTCCAGATCATATGCCAGCTCAAATTTTATATCATATATATATATATGTGTGTAGATATATATATATATAGCAATATGTGTACATATATATATATATTAATATACATAATACTTGGGGGTGTAGTCCTGCTGCTATGTAAGTGATGCAATCATATTATTAGAGGTTGTATCCCAATTTGTTGGTGATAATTCCACTAAACTGCACCCCCGAGTATTTCTCAACATGATTACAACCGCTTTGTAAGCTGTGGGCCCTATAACCGTGGCTCCCGACATGGCAACCCGGGCGCTGAATAAAATGGAGGTTGGTGATTTGATCTATGTTTAATCTCCTGGGACCCCAAAAACTCATAGTTGTGGTTTCAGAGGTGCACCCCCGATTTCTTGGGTTGATGGATTTGCCAATTTAAGGATCGCCCCAAGTAGCAACCTAGTGGTTAGAAAGTGGCAATTTGTACCCAGTTGTAACTATAATCTAAATAGACACCCAGCTACGGAACTTATCAGCAAAGGTCAGCAGTTTCTAAGTGGATGATCCTAAGCAGGGGCAACCGACGTGTTTAGGCTCCCTGGACATAAGGCACTGCAGTGCCATTTTTGGGCATGTCCCACATGCATATCTTTCAACAACACACATGTATACCCTTAAGTCGTGGCAATGATTTTTCCACATTTGAAGGTGCCAAAACAATCTGGTGTATATAATTTGTATAAAGACTCTTTTGGTCATGCATACCAATGTCACCTTTAACCCATACATATTCCTCAAACCCACTTAATGGAACATCGAAGGGCCCACTTCATGCAACATCAAAGGGCTGGAATTTCATGTGACCAATTTTTTTAGGGAAGTACGACAATGTTTGGTGTTGACATCAAGCCATACCGCTTCAGCAATCCCTGGCGCTATTTGCTGGTTTTGCTGGCTGCCGGTCCATGCATCAGCTTGGGAACTCAGTCAACTTGTGGGACTTCGTTGGCCCTAATATACTCCCAATGAAATGCCAGAAACAGGCAAAACCTTTGGAAGAAACGTTCCAATACATTGCTGCCAGGACATTGGGCAGCCAGTTTTGTGATCTTGCCCAACATAGTCTCCTCACTTAAGGTCTTGTGGACTCGACAATTCTCATCCGAAAATTGCAGATCGAAAATCATATGGGCATAGGCGTGCCTGAGATTGCACAGGGGGTCCAACCCAACAAAATACCTACCTTTTAGAAACTTCATTAGATTTCAGGATGAATGCCCCAAACAATAAAAATCCACCAAGTTACCATTTGGGTCTCAACTTGTAATTCAGCTGTGCACGCTCCAGATTCAACACAGCCAGATCTGAATAAGTCTGGAGAGAAGCAACACCACCATGCAAGGCTTGTTCCCTCAGATCCTCCCCCAAACGCAGAACAGGGCGATCAGTAGCCCAAAGGAAGGTGCACATGCCCCAAAGGCACCGAGTACGCAGGAAGCACTCTCTACCTTGGAGGCAAGGGTGATATGTATATGTATGTTTGTTTGTCTTTATGTATGTATGTAATGTAACGTAAATGTAAATGTCATGTAATGTCATGTAATGTCATGTAATGTCATGTAATGTCATGTAATGCCATGTAATTTATGTAATTTATGTATCTATCTATCTATGTATGTGTGTATGTGTGTATGTATGTATGTATGTATGTATGTATGTATGTATGTATGTATGTATGTATGTATGTATGTATGTATGTATGTATGTATGTATGTATGTATGTATGTATGTATGTATGTATGTATGTATGTATGTATGTATGTATGTATGAGACATGTATGTATGAGACATGTATGTATGAGACATATATGTATGAGACATATATGTATGAGACATATATGTATGAGACATATATGAATGAGACACATATGTATGAGACATATATGTATGAGACATATATGTATGAGACATATATATATATGAATGAGACATGTATGTATGAGACACATATGTAAGAGACATATATGTAAGAGAAAAAACTTGTCAATCATTCCAAAATACATTGGCAACGGTCAAAAAAATCATGGGCCAACTCAGCAAGGAAAAATAAGATGATCTTGGTATGGGCCGCCTTCACGTTAGAGTCAAACTCTGGGTAGTTTCTACCATCAGTTTCTCCACGTCCTATCAGGTGTAAATTCCACACACATGGTGGGATGTCCACCTTCTTCCCAAGCCGGCACCAGCGTCGGAATCCCGATCCCAACTTTCCCATCAGAACGTTTCCAGTATCAGTTGGTTCCAGAAGCATCCCATACATGCATTGTAGTGGTGGCCCTCCACGTGGAAGAACTTCATTGAGATGGGATGTAGAAACCTTTTAACTGGTGATAACCAAACCATGTATTTTCCCAATAAGGTATAGAACCATATTCCCAATGACAAATTCAGACATTACCTATATTTTTTTTGGTGGAAAGGATTCAAAAAATTCCCAGCTGATTAGTAGAGCCAAAAAACGAAATCATAGAGGAAGCTGGCACATAAGTCCTTCCCTACACCCAGCAAAATTGTGTGTGCTGAGTCCCACTTCACTCGGGTTATTGTAAACCCCGGAACCTCAACCCAAGGAGTCACATGGCCAGCTGGTGTTTGGTCCAAGTAGGTTTGATGATCTCTGATCGTTGTGGTCCACGGGGCATCCAACCGAAAATCAGTATAGATGTAGCGAAGCAAATCTGGCGATGTGGCTGCAAATGGTTTGATTGCATCACACTGATCACATACTTGGGTTGATTGATAGTTTCGCTTCACGAAACAATGTGACAGAGATCGTTCTTTCCAATCCCCACACCAAGATTCAAATCCAGCACGCCATCCCCCACAAATTGGGGTTCCAGCTTTCAAAGCGCGGTCGCCAATGAGGTTGTTCCCAAATTGATCATGGGAAGGAAAGATGCCTTCGAGCAATGACTTACCTGAGAACAAGGCTGGAACTTTGGGTTTGTCGACCTTTGCATGGATTCCCCGAAACAAAAAAATCATATCATTAAAGACAAAAGACATACATTTGAATTTTGAAAAGGGGCTGTCCCACGCAATCACTTTGGTGATTGCTCGATTTGCTTTAGCCCGCAAAGATTTGCTTGGAAGCAATCTCATGGGGACGCATGCAAAAGCGAACTTGGTACACCAGTTTGTTTTGGCCATAGTGCTGCTCCAAAGCCATATGATCAGTTCATGGTTTCGGTGGAATTGGGCACCATCCGTAAACCATTTTACCTTAGCAAGTTTCTGTCGAAACCTCAACACAGATACCAAACCGTTGGGTAGAGAGATGGATGGGTAGATGGATGGATAGGTGGATGGATAGATGAATGGAAAGATGGATGGGTAGACAGGTAGAAAGATAAGATGGGAGGAAAGATGATGGATATATAGAGGATGAATATTCATTTGAAATATGGCACCCTATGATAACTATATCCCTTTATATAATACCCTATGCTAAATATTCCTACCCATCTCATTCTTTTAGAATAGAAATAGATGCATACATAAATATTACCACTTGAAAAACTATATCCACGCATGTTTGCCCAGGCTCCGGGAAAGTGCATTCGTGAAGCCCTTGCCTGAGGCACAACAGGGGGCCGGTTGGAAACATGGGTATGTTTGGCCAAAGAAAGATTGGGATGGGAAACAGAAAGCTAATAAAGTGCATCCAAAAAACTGTATAACAGGATGGTCAGTGGCCCAATCCATTTCAGCATACTCCCAGTATTCTCTACAGTTTTCACTTGTTGCACCAATGCATTCATCCCACAGTTTTGGGTCTTGCTTTCTCCACAAAGCATTCAAAACATCTGAAGCCAAAAGCACCGGGATCTCCATCATTTCAATCTTGGCAGTATCAGGGTTGTAGACTTCAATTGCAGTTGAATGCGTCTTAAGACCTGAATCATATGCATAAGGCATCCATCGATGAAGGTATCTTTCACAATTTTGGGGATTGCGACCCCAAGTGGCCAACGATGCCAAATCCCTAATTGTGCCCTCGGTAAGCCCGTCATTGTAGGCCGCAGCAGCATATCTCTGCGCAGTCGTAACATGGATTTCCTTGAGCTGTTGTGCCACAAGAAATTTTGGGTTGGAGCATCTGACCATGCTACCCCTCCGAGATTTTGGGTTTCAAGTTCAACATGTTTGTAAAATCTATATGTGGTTACAGGCTTCCCCAGCTATATACCCATCACTCAGGACACATGGCCACATATGTTCATATGTTTCATTTAATATTGGGAAACACAAACACTGCACTACTTTTTTCTAACGCTACCAAAGCCAGTCGTGTATTTTTTTGTTTGAAACAAACTGACCAAGAATCCCCTCGAGACACGTCCCAAAGTAGCTGTCGGGCAAGCTCGCCACCAGGCTCGGTCACACGTCTTCGACGAGGATTGGCACCTGGCGAGTCATCATGATGGAAACAAATATACTGGTATCTTTGGGTAAGTGGGCATGTACGCCAAAGAAAAAACATTGTGTTTTTGGGTTATATTATGTTGTTGAATAAACTCGTACATAACTTGTGGCCATTACCACTGTTTTGAAGATGCCCCAGCATTGGCTTCGCTAAATGGGTAACCTCATGGCTTGGAGTTTTAGAAATTGAATCATGTTAGATAGTTATGGGGAATCACCTGCATGATATATCTATGAACCAACAAATTTGTAGGGATACCAAACATCTCATTCCCTGTTGAACATCTTAACGCCAAGAAGAAGTAGTACTCTGTATTATATTGGCTAATAGGGGATGCAAATCTTAGCAAGGGCTTGGCAAATCTGAACAGAACCCAACGAGTTTTTCTTGCGCGATGTGCACACTGCCAGCCAAATCTTTGCCCACCCCAGGCAATCGATAATCATGGCACCATTGATGCCGCACTGTCAAAACTCCTATGGGGAAACCCCTACACCACGTTCAAAAGATCTGGATTGGTTTTACCTATTTACTTCAAAGTGTTTTCCAGGGGGTTCCCACAAAAGATGAAGAGTTGTTAATTATGTTGTTTGAAGAGTGCCTCAAATAGAAATGTGGTTCCATAGTGCAAGGTTTCTCCCCATATTTCCTTTGCTTTCCTAAGCAGAAGATGATGAAGCCGCAGCCTTCATGCTGTTGGCCACCTTCTTTCGCAGCTTATACCAATTGGAAAAAATGGTGGCCCTTTCAAACAGAGGGGAATAGGCCGAATCATCATTGATGGAATCCGCAACCATCTTACTCAGGGTTCTGTACAGCTCAGTCATAGCTGTTGCATGTTGCAACAGGGCCTCACGAAGTTCACTGCTGCATTCCAAGTTCTCAATGGAAACGCATGTGCTCCTGGCTTCCTCTGCCTCCTTAAGCCTTAGGTAGGGGCACATTGGAAAGACCACATCAAACAATTACTTTGGCTACCCACGTGGTGCAACATAGGTTTACTGAATTTAAAAAAGGTACCCTAATTGAAACTGTTACTGGGTTGAGGATTAGCCTAGCAACACTGATTTTGCCAAAGCCTTTGCTCTCTGCAACGGGGTTGTTTCTGCTTCGGGCTGTGGTTGATCACCATTGGCTGGATCACCCGAACCCGAAGCCACCTCATTGCTGGACTTTCCACCTTTTCCCTTACCCTTGGGTTTTGGCTTGGGTTTGGCCTTGGCACAGCCTTTGCCACCAGCACCTGCAGGACCTCCGTTGTCACCCAGCACATCTGCCAAAGCAGGGGCTTGGCCCTGAGAAAGATCAGCTCCTGTGGGAGTGGCTCAGGTAGAGTAGGTAGAGTGGACATGGATGGAACAAAATATGTGTTTGTTTCAAACATGGACTCAAAAACAAATGGTATGTCATACTATGTCATTTGGGGATACCTTCAACTGGACCTACACCTTTTCAAACCCGATGAGTCTTTCAAGCAACAATGCTTTATGTAAATCCCTCTTGGTGTATGTTATGATGGTCTACAGTCACTATAAATAAATTGAAAAACCAGATAAATAAATATATAAATAAACAACATGGACCCCAACATGATCTATTTTGCAGATGGTCCTTGGTTGGTCAGGGACACAGCTTCCTGCGTAGACACTGCACCCTGGTTGTTGATCTCGGTGGTATCCTCACGAATGTTGGCAGTCTGTTGGCCAACTTCATCAACAATCATGTAGCGACGCAAACGTTCAACTCCAGGAAAGTTGGGGTCATCAATGAACCGACCAGCTGCCACAGCCCTCTGGATCAGGTCATCGATGTCAGTGGCAGTATACCTGCCAGATTGCTCAAGCTGGGCCCGGCTCCAAGTCACCGTGTTGGCATGGGCTGACTGCCTTTGGGTGTTGCGACGGGACACCTCAAGGGTCACCCTCCCAAAGTCACGGGCATGAGTCAGCCACAAGTTGAAGAGATCCTTCTTCTTGTTGGCATCTGCAAACATAGCAGCCACACTGGGGTCCATGTTTTCCCTCATGTGGGCAAAGCTAACCCTTGTGGAAATTATGAAAATTATAGTTGTTGGTTTTGGAGTTTGGGATAAACATATATATATACATGTATTATACATAAATAACTACATAATATATAATCCCCTCTTTCTATATGTACATATTTAAATACCAATTTGGGAGGTGTACATAAGCCTATGTAGCCATCTATGGGGATTTACATTGTATAATTTTGGTGTTGATTTTAAAAAAAATACAACTAAGTATGCCATGGCACGGGTGCTTGGCTGCCCTCAAAAAAGCCATGTACTCAGCGCGATGCGTTGAGGATGTTGCCACGCCTGCATTCTCAATGGCCCGTTTTCGATCTTGAGCATTCTGAGTGGCACCCACCACTGCTTGCTCAACCATCCCCGGCAAACTGTGAGGAGTGGTAGTGGCTTGTCCCCCCTGGCTTGGAAGCAGTGGCACAGTCAAAGCACCAGCTTGTCCTTGTCCTTGTCCTGGTGGCTGCACTGGGGGTGCTGCAGCCTGTCCTGGAACTGAAGCTGCTGGAGCCTGTTGTCCTTGTCCTGGAACTGAAGCTGCTGGAGCTTGTTGTCCTTGTCCTGGAACTGAAGCTGCTGGAGCCTGTTGTCCTTGTCCTGGAACTGAAGCTGCTGGAGCTTGTTGTCCTTGTCCTGGAAGAACTGAAGCTGCTGGAGCTTGTTGTCCTTGTCCTGGAAGAACTGAAGCTGCTGGAGCTTGTTGTCCTTGTCCTGGAAGAACTGAAGCTGCTGGAGCTTGCTGCCCTTGTCCTGGAAGAACTGGATCCGCTGCGTGTTGTCCTGGGTGAACTGGGGCCGCTGGAGCTAGTTGTCCCTGTCCTTGTCCTGGAAGAACTGGAGCCACTGCTTGCCCTTGCTGTCCTTGTCCTGGAAGAACTGGAGCCACTGCTTGTTGTCCTTGCCCTGGAAGAACTGCAGCTTGTCCTTGTCCTGGAACTGAAGCTGCTGGAGCCTGTTGCCCTTGTCCTGGAAGCACTGAAGCTGCTGGAGCTTGTTGTCCTTGTCCTGGAAAAACTGAAGCTGCTGGAGCTTGCTGTCCTTGTCCTGGAAGAATTGGATCCGCTGCTTGTTGTCCTGGATGAACTGGGGCCGCTGGAGCTAGTTGTCCCTGTCCTTGTCCTGGAAGAACTGGAGCCACTGCTTGCCCTTGCTGTCCTTGTCCTGGAAGAACTGGAGCCACTGCTTGTTGTCCTTGTCCTGGATGAACTGAAGCCGCTGGAGCTTGTTGTCCTTGTCCTGGAAGAACTGGGGCCACTGCTTGTTGTCCTTGTCCTGGATGAACTGAAGCCGCTGGAGCTTGTTGTCCTTGCCCTGGAAGAACTGGAGCCACTGCTTGTTGTCCTTGTGCTGGATGAACTGAAGCCGCTGGAGCTTGTTGTCCTTGTCCTGGAAGAACTGGAGCCATTGCTTGTTGTCCTTGTCCTGGAAGAACTGGAGCCACTGCTTGTTGTCCTTGTCCTGGATGAACTGAAGCCGCTGGAGCTTGTTGTCCTTGTCCTGGAAGAACTGGAGCCACTGCTTGTTGTCCTTGTCCTGGAAGAACTGGAGCCACTGCTTGCTGTCCTTGTCCTGGATCTTGCACATCGTGTCCCACTTGAAGAGAAGGGTGCCCCTCTGAACCCACGACGCTGTTCATGGCAGCTTCAACTTCCCTCTCAAGTTCAGCCATTATTATGTCTGACATGGTTTCACCATCAAGGTCATCTTGTGTCTGTGAAGGGGCCATTGAGGCTGAAGATGGAGGTATAGTGCTTGCTATGTCAGCCTTCTAATGATTGGCATCCCAAAACCATGGATTTTCAACAATACATGGTGTACCCCATACCGTAGGAAAATTTTCATCAATACATGGTGTACCCCATACTGTAGGAAAATCATGTTTTTGACAATACGATTTATGGTTACCTTAAATGGCTTAAAACAACTTGAACCAAACGTCAGCCCAGTAACAGCGAGATCATCCCACTCGATCCCATTAAGCTTGGCTGCCAGCTTAAACTTTTCCATCAACTCCTCTCTCTGCATCATCTTTGGTTTGGCCGCTGGAGGTGCACTGCTGGAAGCATCCGATGGTGGTGGTCGCTTCTGACAGCTGGTTGGCTCAGCACACCCTATCCCCTTTGATGGTGGTGATAACACTCGATAAGTGTTGGGGTCAAAAAAACGACGTATGTTCTCTGGGGTTGTGTGGCGTTCCACCCCAGCCTGAGGCGGTGTTTGCACAGCAGCCATGCTAGGATGCATTGGAATGCCAGACATCCCTCACAGGTCACCCACCAAGCCTTTGATATTGCAAGGCTTCAGATAAAATACGTTTTGGATGAAATGGCATTTCAAGCATTATCTCAATAATAAGTTTTGGATGACATGACATTTCAAAACCTTATCTCAACAATATGTTTTGGATGAAATGGCATTTCAAACATTATCTCAATAATAAGTTTTGGATGACATGACATTTCAAAACCTTATCCCAATAATAAATAGTAAGTTTTGGATGAAATGACATTTCAAAACTTTATCTCAATGACAAGTTTTGGATGAAATGACATTTCAAACCTTTCCCAATAACAAGTTTTGGATGAAATGACCTTTCAAAACTAACAATCTTTGGACCCCATGCCATAACTTCCACCTATCCCCATGAGCGTGAACTTTCACGAGTTTTCACGGACGTTTCACGGAGTTTTCACGGCATCACGGGGTATCATGTTTTTTCAGAAAATTTCCCACTGATCCATTTTTTATCAAAGTACCATATTTCCCAAGTCAGGGTTGGCACCTGGTCCATCTTCTTGCACCAGAGCTGAGCATCTTTTCATATCCAAGGTCAAAGCAGCACCTGGCACGGAGCCATGGTGACACCCACGGGGCTGGATAGGGGGGGGCTATATGAATAGTTGGATGGGGTTCATAAAGATAGATTAATTAGATTAGATTAGATTAGATTAGAGTAGATTAGATTAGATCAGATTAGATTAGATAAGATAAGATAAGATAGATTAGATTAGATTAGATAAGATAAGATAGATTAGATTAGATTAGATAAGATAGATTAGATTAGATTAGATAAGATAAGATAAGATAGATTAGATTAGATTAGATTAGATAAGATAAGATAGATTAGATTAGATTAGATTAGATTAGATTAGATAAGATAGATTAGATTAGATTAGATAAGATTAGATAAGTTATATAGATATGGAAAGGGAATTTTAGATCACATTCCCCTGGAGGAAGATTGTCCCATCACCATGTAATTAGATAGATATCTATAAATAGAGTTATATAGGTATGGAAAGGGAATTTTAGATCACATTTCCCCTGGAGGAAGATTGTCCCATCACCATGTAATTAGATAGATATCTATAAATAGAGTTATATAGATATGGAAAGGGAATTTTAGATCACATTTCCCCTGGAGGAAGATTGTCCCATCACCATGTAATTAGATAGATATCTATAAATAAAGTGGAAAGGGAATTTTAGATCACATTTCCCCTGGAGGTCCCCTGGAGGAAGATTGTCCCATCACCATGTAATTAGATAGATATCTATAAATAGAGTTATATAGATATGGAAAGGGAATTTTAGATCACATTTCCCCATATTTCCCTACTCATTGGTGGTTCCTGCTGCCTGGTGAAACTGTTTTGCCCCGCTGATTGGCACACTTGTTCTGATCGAATTTCTAATTTCTAATTTGCGAAGTTACAAGTGCAACTTACGCACGTGATGTTTTTGAAACCTCACGATTTGAATGTTCCCAAGCTAAGAAATTGAAACACATCTTTGAGATCAGCATCTTTCCAGCTGTCTTTTGCCTTCATCTGCAAAAGGTTTTTGGGAGGGGTGTTTTCCTTTGGAAACTCCCTTTGTTCAGTCATTTTCCACACCCGAAGGGTTGCAAATCCAAACTCACGTGGATATGTTTGGGAATTTTTCAACAAGCTGTTGCCCGTAACTTGGACACGCCCATCGGGCATCAGCTTCTTGGACACCATGGGTGCCCATTCCTTGCCCCCAGGCAGGGGTAGGTTAAACATATTCACTGTAGGTGTAGGTGACCAAAGGTGTGTAGGCTTCGGTGACTTGGTACCGTAGCTACCCATATACATATGACACCTATACACATTCAAGGACTTCAGCAACTCCTGCATTCTTGGGTGCTGAAAGAGCATCGATGTGTGGGGTTGTTCATAGAGCCACATTGCAAGCTTCGACTCAAGTATCCATATGATCAGGGCCATTCGAGCCACCATCACCTTTTCCAAGGGTAGAATGAACAATCCCCAAAACCCCAAAAGATATATCTGGGATCCCTAGCATTACCTTTCATAGGTTGAACAAGACCCCATTCTATATATATATATGGGTATGTCTCAAACAACTATATATACCCTATATATTGATGGGGATTGTGGGACATATCGATACCTTTATGTTTATCATCTATATCACTCTCTATATGTACACATATTTAACACACATAAGCTATTCAATGCCCAGTCACGTTGCCACACTTCACAGATTTCACTGAGCTGTCCCCAAGTGGCTGCCAGAGAGATCGCTTTGTCCTGAGGCCGGATCACATGGACCACTGGCTGGAAGGGACAACATGGAGACCACTGGCTGGGGCCCTGTCACAGCTGATCAAAGAGAAACACCCTATTGTTTTAGATCTTTGGAACACCCTTTCAAGTTAACCAGCCAAGCATCACAGATCGGGATACAAACACCCACGAACTGCACACCGTGGCTATCATCGAAAAACCATGGTCTTTGACCATCATCACCATCAGCAGTGCCATACAAAACCTAGGATTAATAACCCTGCTGGATGAATTACCCAGGATACCCAATGCTATCATGCAAGGTTGAAAGTTTAACAGCTCTGTTTCAGCTCTGTTTCAACAAGTCCTTGAGGGAAATGATGAAAACTCACCAAGGAACCCGGGAACTGACAAAATGTCCATCAATGGGTTCAGTTTGATCTCAAATGGAGCAATCCGATATCCATTGCCAGCCCAGGCTGATGTCACCTCATCTGCTGGGGCCAGGGTCCACCAACATGTATCTGACCTTTTGTAATACCACCCAAGCCAACTACATGGGAATAGACTATAGACCAATCAATGAAACTTATGTTGCTGGATAGGGAATAGGCTAGACCAATCAATGAAACTTATGCTGCTGGATAGGAACTGCTTGCTCTCCTGCGAAATACTCACATGCATCCAGATTGATGTTGATCGGTCCAAGGTTCATGAACATCAAGGTGACCAACTGCATCACCACTGCGGGGGCCCCAATGCCACCCAATCTCCGGAGCATCGTATGTAACTTGCAGGGATGAGATCAGCCAGGGGAACCAATTTGATGTATACATATATAGATTAACAACAACTCCTTGGTTTTTTCTTTGTAGAACCAATTTGATGTATACATATATAGATCATACCCCACCTGATCCTTAGCCTTCTCACATCGACCCTGGAACACGTCAATGGAGCGAGAAATGGCCATCCCTTGCTTCGACGATTCCTTTTTGGAAGCCCGAACTCTCTTCACATCTTTGGCTCTTTTCTTCATCTTTGTCTCATTCCAAATCTTCTGGCTCCGGGTGGTTTTCATCACATGCAGGACCATGTCTCTAGCTAAACAAAGGGATCGATTGAACGCCCCCCCAAACAAATGTTTTGATCTCTGCAAAAGCTGCTGAACACTATATACTTATTGAGGAGCATGTATGATATGTATGGGAGTAGCCTAGCAGAACAAGTGATATGGTTTGGCAGAATAATGAAAACATGCATGGACCCACAATGCTATAGGGTGAGATGAAGGGATCGAAAAGCACATTCTTTTTCACACAAGCGCAACACACCCCAAAGTGCTGAGACCACTAGCCGGTGAGGCAATGTCTAAATCACATAATTGGCACTGTTGTTTCATACAACAGTGATGGATGAATTTGATATTTGAATTGGTGATCTATTTGACCATTGAACACATCTAGGCGCAGGGAAGCTACAATGATAATGATGTCAGCTAGCATCCTGGGCTTTGCCAACCACATAACTTCTTGATCTCCTCCCAGGCATCTGCGATGTTGTTGCCCCAGGGGCGCTGCTTGACCACTGGAATGGGGATAGGATGCCCTTAGCTAAAGGTTGTTTCAGAAACATACAAACGTAGTGTTTGAGAAAGAACCCCCTATTAAAATGGAATAGATGTGCCTTATTGCCAAGTAACCGGTCTTGTCAAACCGAGCCAATTTCGAAATGCGAAAGGCACGGCCTTTCAAAAGCACTTCCACCTTGGCTCCACTGGCCTCATTGAAGATAGTATACGAAAGACGACCCCTCTTGCCATCACATGGTAAGCATTCTTCTGGCATTCCTGACCAGGGCAATGCAAGTATGTTTATGGCCTGGACAGTTATTGAGGCCTGCAAACAACATATGAGTATTATGTTAGGTAATTACACAGTTTTTGGGATAAACTGTATCTACAACATATATGTGGATATTGTTGTTTTGAAAGGGATACTTTAATAGGAGTACAAAAGGGCACCTCATTTTGAGACTTGTGGTATCATATATATATATACATACTTAAGTGTAAGACTGTGTGGCTATATAAATGTCTTTGTTTGTATTCGTAGCACGTGTGTTCAAATAGCAATATATGTCTATTTGAGTTTGCATATTTGTATGCATGGAATGTATGCACACACAACTATATATGTATGTATGTATGTATGTATGTATGTATGTATGTATGTATGTATGTATGTATGTATGCATGTGTGTATGTATGTATGCATGTATGTGCATTTGCTTGATTAAAAATTGAATAAATGAACAAATAAATAAATAAATAAATAAATATATATATAGGGATATGCATATTTGTCAGTATGCCGTGTTTCCCAACCCCGACCGTCTGGCACTGGAAGCTCATTCTGGTTTCCAGGTTCTGACTTTGGTTTCTTGGAGGGTGCGCCATCTGCAGCCTCTGCTTCAGCCGCGGCCACAGCCCTCTTCTTGGCGATCTTCTGGGGTTTCTTTGCATCCTACAAAATGGCCAAGGGTTAATTGTGGAAAAGAACAGATTTATATAACTTTATTCCCCAAGAAAAATATAACAAGGTAACCAATACATTGAACAAATATGGGTAAGAAAATAACAAGATCCAGCCAGTAGTTAGTTATACAGATCAATATCCAATTAATATCAGTGGCTGGGTTAACCAGTTCAAAATTGGATCCATGGAAAACACTGGTTAGTGCCAGGTAACAACTAGCTGGAGCTGCTCATGGGGGTTTGGTACTTGGTGCTCTTTTGTGGCCTCACCAACATGATCATCAACATGCCCTTTTGGTTCACTGGGTGGCACCAAAGGGTCAGACACCATGGGCCGGGATAGGGCTGGACCCTTGGTACGGCGCCGGAGTGGAACACCAGGCTGCGGCATGGTAGAAGGTCCATGATCACCACCATCTCCACCATCATGACCTAGCCAGGTTATGGGCACCCAATTGTACACACTATGGTTTATCATTTTTCAAGAGAGGTATGCCTAACCCAAAACATTGTAACCCCAAAGCTAGACAAAAACTGATACAGGCTGTTTTGAAACAGAGTGACTGGTTTTCTCAAGCGTTCCATTCACACCATTGGATGTGGTCTCGGTGGCATTTGTGGACCCATCACCTTCTAAGGGGATAAGACCAGGGTCAGGCTCATCACACACCAGACCAAACGCTTCTTCCAAGCTCCCACGTGGCAAATGATCTGACTCCACAAGGTCCTGCAATCTTGCGGTTCGCCAGAATGTGGTTGTATAATATTGTGGATGTGAGGTAATCTATTTACAATGTTGCTGTCACCAATGAAAGAACCCCATTTTGACAAAACAACAGGTGGACGCATCAAAACACTGTGCCCCTGTGTGTATGTTGGAACCTTTAAGTATTTATGTGGTTCTCCCAAACCTTGCCTCGATGCAACGACTCATATGTTCTTGGCTGCATGCAGCATTTGGATCCAACCTTAGCTACAAGTGGTTGAAACTCTGAGACTTTACTGCTAAAAGAGTCAATTACATACCAAAGAATTCATTTCCCTGTAGGTGGAACATAATATATTGTGATTTTACTGTGTACCCCTGTTGTATACACCGGTTGCAAACATATTTCATTTGATCAAGCGACCCAAGCAGCATCAAGGTCTGAGCCACAACATCAGTCTCAGCCACATTCGTGGAACTGGCCGCGGTCCTCAGATGAGAGTGCTTGGGCTGGGAGCAAATGTCCTATACAAAAGAAACCCCAAAGATAAAGTAAAACAGTATAAACAATCAGCAAGTAAATACTGGTTTATCATTGTTTTGCCTAGCTTCTCAACACTAGAAGTTGCAGGACTCGAGGTGTCATCATCCAAACACGTAATGGGGCGACCATCAAGAAGGAGGGTCACTTCGGATGTAGTAGAAGCTGTTGATGAAGGACTACTGGAACCCTTACCCTTCCTTTCTGGGCGACCCTTGGCCAATGCAAGTTCCTTCAAATAGGTCACTGTGGGGGACCTACCTTTTGCTGATCTTCCACTGGACACACGTGCATAGGACAACAACATTTTGAGGTAGGCCCCTTGCTTTAAGGCTTTGTCCCGCCTAGCCTTTTCGTCCACCGGGTTGGCTTTTTGAAGACCAAATATGGCACCCCCCAACATCTTGTTCAACACCATAACGGAATCACCAAGAAGGTAGCCACTGGGTTCTCTAGAAGATGGGTAGGCCTCCAGGAGCCCCTCAACCACCTTTGAGGTATGGTGATCATTCAGATCTTCCTGGGTAACCTTTCCCGTAAATTTGAGCTGAACCAGTTTCCCATCACCTGGCATCTTCGTAGGGTCAATGTGGTGCTGAATGCTAGCTGCGATTTTCTGAGCCTGATCGGAACCTGACCACCATGTTTTCCATGAAGCCAATGGCTTAATAGGCAACTCCCCTTGAAGGGCCATTGCAATCGCCCAAATCGAAACACCAACCTTTTATACACCAAGCCAAATGCTGCGATTGGCTGAGGTTGGACGACTGAAGCAGCTGAGGGCTAGGACAATGGTTTCGGGTCTTGGATCCTGAATCCCTACTCCACCAAATTCATTTGATGTTTCAAAACAAACTCACTTGATGTTTCAAAACAAATTGATTTGTACTACCATGCTATTTGTTTTTCAATTCGGTTACTTCCCTATTCGATTGAAAGGTCCCTGATATATTGCTGTTGAATGGCCACCATTTTCCACTCACATGTAAAAAGCGTATCAACATACTTCATCGAACATATGGGGATATTGCCACTATGTATCAATCATTAGGGAACACTATGTATCAACCAAGATTAGGGAACATCAGAAAAATTTACCACATTTGTCTGATGTTTTCATGGGCATGCCAAATTGTGGCATATGAAACAAATATAAACAAATATGAAAACGCTTTTGGGTCGGTGGGGTGATCAAGTGAATATCAAAAACCATGGGCTTCAGGGTCCATATCGCAGAGGGCTTCAGGAGAGTAAAATTGCATAACCCCTGTTTACTTCACTAGCCGTCACTAGCTCACCAATTTATCTATGTTTTTTTTAAACTTATCAAATTGGAACATAGTTCCCAACCAGCCACACCTCATGTGAAGAGGGGCTGCAAGCCATCACAGCCTGCAAGCATTGCCAGCGTTTCTTGGTCACCCAAACCAAAAGAATGGTCAGGAGGTAAATGAACCCCTTGAAATCCATGTGCTTGACGTTTAACTTTCAAATCCTTTAATGGTTTCAAATAGTTTTGAAGTGCCAACTCCTGCCCATGCAAGAGCGTACCTTCTCGATGTGGTGTCCAAGCGCTGAAACCTGGACCGGGACCAAAGGGTTCAATTGGAAGGTTTTGGAACGACACAAAAGTTATCACATATGTGTTCAACAGCTGAATATTATGTGTCAATGGTCAAAACTTGTGTGACACAAAAGTTATCACATATGTGTTCAACAGCTGAATATTATGTGTCAATGGTCAAAACTTGTGTTTGTTTCATTCAAGTCGATACTTCAAAGTTGAGCCAAATAGTTATCTCACTGTAAGTCTCCAACAATTAACCTGCGTTTCAGACCTTCCCATGAGAGTGTGCCTCCATTGGCACAGAGCGATCGAACCGTAGTGATCTAATGCTGCAACCTGCACCATCGATTTCATGGCACCGTTTGCAAACCCTGATGTTGGCCAACTGGAATTCGATTGGGAGGTTCCCTTGTCAAGTCCAACATTTTTACTCATGACAACAGCATAGCCAAACCAGCCTCTCAGCCGAGCGATCTGATCAAGCCAGACACATAGCGCACATTGCAGGGTTGGATTCTCGGAAAAGTGTCTTGGAACAGTTTTAACCAATGTGGTTGCAGAGATCTGGCAAATATAGATTTTATAGATGGAATTAAAAAGGCTTTACTCAGATAAGTTTAATTTATGCGATAACATATTTAACATATGTATGGAATACTGAGCCCACGCATGAAAACGACATGTTGGCCAACATCACCGGTGGGACGCTGCCAAGACCAAAGCGAAGGCCGACGGAGATTGAAACCCAGCGCCAGGATTCATCTAGTTTTGGGGGCTTAAGTTTTTGGGGGCAAACACTACTTAAATATTTGGGGAAAGATCTGCAGTGTTTCCCAATTTGGACAAAACATGGTTTGTTCAAGGTCCTTCTATTTGGGGTGGTGAATGTGAGATAAGTAATGACTAATAATATGCAATAACTACTATATAATAACTACCCCAAATTGGCAAACACTGCTTAAATATTTGGGGAAAGATCTGTAGTGTTTCCCAATTTGGACAAAATGGTTTGTTCAAGGTCCTTCTATTTGGGGCGGTGAATGTGAGATAAGTAATAACTAATAATATGCAATAACTACTATATAATAACTGTCCCCACATATTTGGTGATATTGGATGCACATCCACATATAAACTCTGTTTTGTTTGAAAATAACAGTTGTTTGTTGTTTGATGGTAGTAATATGCAATAACTATATGAAAACACCATTGTTCATTAAATAAATGTCCCCACTTATTGGATGATATTGGATACACATCCAAATATAACCGCTGTTTTGATTGAAAATGGTGGTTGTTTGTTTTTGATGGGAAATGATGACTAGGTACCCTGGGGTATTTTATTTTTTGGGTAAACCATGGTAAGCCGACTTGGCTATTTCCCTTCACTAGACTAGTACAGGCTATTCACCCTAAATTCTCTTACAGTAATGCAAACTATTCCCCGTATTTTCTGAACATATTTGGTAAACAAATGAATGAAGCCCACATGGTTCAAATTGTTTCACACACATATATATATATATGTAATATACACATATTTATTTAATAGCAGGCTCAAGGAACAGCATGGCCATTCCACTGCTGGATTTGCAACACTGTTCTACATAGCAAACTGTTGTCCTTGCAGTTTTGGAGCAACAACAACAATACCATGGTAATCACCACTGGTGGCATGTAGCAGGCTCAAGGACCAGCATGGCCATTCCACTGCTGGATTTGCATAGCAAATTGTTGTCCTTGCAGTTTTGGAGCGACAAAAAACAGTACCATGGTAATCACCACTGGTGACTTTCGAGTTTTTACCATAGTAGAAGAGTTTTTGCCATAGTAGGAGTTTTTCCATGATATCATGTAAAAACTTCCGTGTCACAAGTAACTAACAACTCAGAGCCTCCTGGTTTCTCCGGCCCAAAATGAATGTCTACGATGAAGAGGTCTTCTCGGTCTACCCTGGAAAGTCCAACAATCCAGGAGACATCATCAAAGGCCGTACCTTTCGTCGCCTCAATGTCACTCGGAAGATTGTCATCGGCGATGTGCCAGATTTGATCAAATCAACCATGCATATGCAGACCTTTGCCTTGGGACAACGATGTATTCGTCAACGCCGTGGCAGTCCCATGGGCAGTCCTCTTTCTCCTGCCCTATGTCTCATGGTCGTCTCCATCAGTGAACAGATTTGGCACAACACCTTCCACCAACTTCTCTCCAATCATCACCTGTTCATAAAACATGTCCGCTACGTTGACAACCGCCTCATCTTCGGTGACAAACGCCTGACCTCATTTGATCCATATGAAGTTTTATTGGATGATGGCTTCTATGGAAAACCTATTATCCTCGAAACTGAGCCAGACCAAGAATTCCTTGGCTTTATGATCGAAACAAAGCCGCTGGAACTGATTTACCAGGGACCAACACAGGTGTCACAAGTTCTCTCACCATTCTCAGCGTCACCTCCTTCGGTCCTACTCAGCGGTTTCCGGTCGAGATGTCACATAGTCATCAAGGGAGCTTTTCCATCCCTACGTGTCCAACAAGGCTTGTCACAATTAATTCGATTATATGCACGAGCTGGCTTTCCCAATGAGGAACTTCAGGCCATCTCCAACCAACTTTTGATTCAGCATGAGAACTCGAGTCTTGCTGTCCTCAAAAATTGCTTCTGCAGCTTTTTATAGGGCTGCTCGTTTCCTTGTGGTCCCGGTGTTGCTCTTCTCTCTTGTTTCTGGTTTCTTCCTGTCCCTTCTCGTGGTTGTTGGTGTTCTGTTGTCTCTTTCTTCTCTTCTTCAGCTTCTTGGCTCAAGTTCCGCTTTTCTTTTTGCTTCGTCTTCGTTTGAACACTCATGGATCATGCTCAAGGGCGAGCGTTCCATCACCATTTGGCTAGAGCTATTATGCATCTCAACTATCTGGCAGGGCTCTTGCCTTTCTTCGAGCCCTCCATTGAATATGATGAATCGCCGCCTCCGGCCAATCTCCGTCTTGATCATCCAACAACCAGAGGCCTGCACACTTTTGTGCCCCGACCGACATCCGAAGGTCCTCCGACCTTGGTATCACATGGCGGCATCCCTTCCCACATGGTATTAAATCCAGAACCATACCTGCGACCGGCATCAACAAGCTCTCCACCAATCAATACATCTATTCTCACCACTGGCACATCTCGACCTGCCAGTCTTATGATGGACCCTGGTCCGAATCCGATTCCTGGGTCCACAACAACGATTACCTTCCCTACGGCACCAACACGCACTACCACACCTGTTCCAGTGCGATCAAAACAACGGTCATCATCTCTGGTGGACCCACAACCAAAAAAGAAACAGAAAGGGGAGTCCATTCCTGAGCCTAGACTCGCGCACAATCTTGATGCCGTCCACTCGACATCGTTACCCATTATTTCAGACGCCCGTTCAGGCGACATGAATTCTGATGACTCCGATGGTGAGGCTGCGTCAAGAGAGGACATCAGCTACATTCATGGTGGGAAAGCAAGACCCAGAACACCTCCTCTTACCTTGACTCCCAATCCAAAAGCTCCGCCGTCTCCACAGATGCACATCCTCCATGCTATTCCTGCCGCTACACCTCCTGATCCGGCTCGCCCTTGGACCCACGCCGATGACCAAGAATTGATCGGCATGAAACAGGACACAAAGTCCAGACCTTCGTGGAAAACAATCGGAGGGAGACTCCATCGCGATCCTCAGCTTTGCAAGCTACGCTGGGGACTTTTGAAACAGACATCAAAATTGAATGACCCACCGGGTCCAGTAAACCCACCTCATGAACTTGAGGGTGATGACGACTCTAGCATCAATCTTTGCGATGTCAAAAAAGCGTTACTTGCCGCCTCATTTGGTGCTGTTGGACCCCATGTTTTTCCTTTTTTCCTTTTTCCTTTTTTCCTCTTGCCTTTTCTGCGGGGTTCTCGCCAATGTTGATTTAATTTTCTTTGGCCTGCGATGAGTGCTCTAACTCTGTGTATCTGTTCATCTACTGCAAGTATGGCTCATTCATATTCTCATCGACGAACAGCTCCCGAACGCTCCCGCTCACGGGACGACTATATGTGGCAGAACCGTCGCACTCAGCAACATGATTGGCAACAAAATCCT